AGAAAAGGAAAGAAAAAATATGGGAAGAAAACACAACACAAAACACAAACAAAAAGCACAAACCAAAAACACCAAATGATAGGGGGAAGAATCTGTAAATACAGAACTTAAATAAACAAAATAAGAATAAAGAATTAGAGGAATAGGATAAGGAGCATGGTTTAGAATTAATGAGGGTGAAAAGAAATGAGAAGATAAGGAAAAAAATTGAAAAGAAGAAGAGAGCAGATAGACCTAAATTAAGGAAGTGAAATAAGAAAATAGGAGAAAGAGAAGAGAGAATAAAGTTGACTAGTCCAAAAAAATAGAAAAGAATATTGAATAGGAACAGGTAAGAGGAAAAATAGATATATGAACAAAACAACAGAAACTAGAGTAATTACAAATCAGATGTGGGTGAATGAATCTCCGGGCAGAACTCCTGCCACAAATCCAACCAATGCCACAACACCGAGGGCAGCTATGAGTGCCGCTGCAGGCCTGGCTGGAAGCCTATTCCTAGGTCCCCCAATGGCCCAAACAAAACCGTTTGTGAAGGTTTGGAGTTCAGATCCCATAAGTATACATCTTCTTTACTTGGCTGAGCCATCTGAAAGGAAGTTGCCATAAGGGTTTTGGCAGAGAATGGGGCAGCATTATCAGCAATAGTGCATGCCCAGTGCAGGCAGTGAGGAGAGGGTGAACTGAGCCGGGCAGGGCTGAGTTTCAGATTCTGTTCTATTAAGGGCAGAAGTACAGCTCTGGGCGCAGCGATGACACAGCCCACAGTCTCAATGCATGGGAGCTGTCAGTGTGGCAGCCACCCTGGTTAGAAGTCCATCACAGGTCCTCCCCTAGTCCATCGTGACCTACAGTGTGGGACACATCTTTGTGATGACACTTGCACACACTGTCCTTTCCTCGTCTACCTTGCAGGGGCCCTCTGAGCTTAATGTGCTTTTAAGGTAGAAAATGTCACCACAAATTTGTATATGTTGGGCTAGGTGGCTTTTAGGCAGGGTTTAGTGGGGTCTCCAGAGTGTAATTTGAGAGAAAGGACAGGAGCTTTGGGTTCACACAGTGCAGGGAGGCCTGACACTATCTCTGCTTTGTCCTCAGAGGTGGATGAATGTACCACAGGACAAAACTCCTGCCACAAATCCACCGAATGCCACAACACTGAGGGCAGCTATGAATGTCGCTGCAGTCCTGGATGGAAGCCGATTCCTGGATCCCCCAATGGCCCACACAACACCGTCTGTGAAGGTTCGGAGTTCAGATCCCATAAATGGACCACATCTTCTTTATGTTTCTCAGCCAATTGAAAGGAAGCTGCCATAAGGGGCTTTGTTCGAGGCGGACAGCACCATCAGCAATGGTGTGTGCCCAGTGCAGCAGTGAGGAGAGGGTACCTGGGCCAGGCGGGGCTGAGCTTCAGATTCTGTTCTAATGGGGCAGGAGTGCAGCTCTGGGCCCAGCAGTGCTACAGCCCACAGCCCGCAGCCTCAGCACATGGGGAGCTATCAGTGTGGCAGCCTCCCTGATTGTAAGTCTATTACAGGTCCCCCCCCAGTCCATCCTGTCCCACAGTTAGGGGACACAGCTTTGCGATGACACTGGAACACACACACACATAGCCCTGCCCTATCCAACATGCAGGGGTGCTATGAGCTTAATGTCCTTTTAAGGTTGGAAAATGTCACCACAACTTTGAATATGTCGGGCTAGGTGGCTATCAGGCACGGTTTAGTGGAGTGTCCAAAGTGTACTCTAAGAGAAGGGGCAGGAGGGTTTATGTGCAGGGAATGCAGGGAGGGCCTGACACTCTCTCTGGTTTGTCCTCAGATGTGAATGAATGTACCTCAGGACAAAACTCCTGCCACAAATCCGCCCAATGCCACAACACCGAGGGCAGCTATGAGTGCCACTGCCGCCCTGGCTGGAAGCCGGTTCCTGGGTCCCCCAATGGCCCAAACAACACCGTCTGTGAAGGTTCGGAGTTCAGATCCCATACATGAACCACATCTTCTTTACCTTGCTGAGCCTTCTGAAAGAAAGATGCCATGAGGAGCTTTGACAGGGAAGGGGCAGCACCATCAGCAATGGTGTGTGCCCAGTGCAGGCAGTGAGGAGAGGGCACCTGGGACAGGCAGGGCTGAGTTTTGGATTCTGTTCTAAAAAATGGCAGGAGTGCAGCTCTGAGCACAATGGTGCCACAGCCCACAGCTTCAGACATTGCAGCTATCAGTGTATCACCCTCCCTGGTTATAAGTCCATCACATGTCCTCCCACAGTACATCCTGCCCCATAAGGTGGGGTCCATCTTTGGGATAACACTGGCACACACAACACAGCCCTGGCCTGTCCACCTTGCAGGAGCACTCTGAGCTTATGGTGATTCTACAGTGGAAAATATCACCACAAGTTTGTATACTATAGGACTAGTTGGGTTAAGCAGGTTGTACTGGGGGTGTCCTCGGTGTACTTAGAGAGAAGGGCAGGAGAGTTGTGTGCAGAGAGTCGAGGGAGGGTCTGAAACTCTTTCTGGTTTGTCCTCAGATGTGGATGAATGCACCTCCGGGCAAAACTCCTGCCACAAATCCACAGAATGCCACAACACCGAGGGCAGCTATGAGTGCCGCTGCCGCCCTGGCTGGAAGCCGGTTCCTGGGTCCCCCCATGGTCCACACAACACCGCCTGTGAAGGTTCGGAGTTCAGATCCCATAAATGAACCACATCTTCTTTACTTGGCTGAGCCACCTTAAAGGCAGCTGCCATAGGACTTCGGCAGAAAAAGGCCAACACTTTCAGCAATGACATGTGCCCGGTGCAGGCAGTGAGGAGATGGTGGGCTGGGCAGGGCAAAGCTTAGATTCTGTTCTAATAAGGGCAGGAGTGCAGCTCTAAGCGCAGGGGTGCCACAGCCTATAGCCTCAGCACATGGGAACTGTCAGTATGGCAACCTACCTGGTTACAAATTTATCACAGGTCCTCCCCCAGTCCCTCCTGCCCAACAGGTTAGGGCACATCTTAGGGATGACACTTGCACACACTCACACACAGTTTTGCCCTCTCCACCTTGCAGGGGCGCTCTAAGCTTATGGTGCTTCTACAGTGGAAAATGTCACAACAACTTTGTATACTGTCCGACCAGGTAGCTCTTAGGCAGGGTTTAGTGGGGTGTCCAGAGTGTAATTTGAGAGAAAGGGCAGGAGCTTTGGGGTCAGGGAGTGGAGGGAGGCCTGACACTCTCTCTGCTTTGTCCTCAGATGTGGATGAATGTACCTCGGGACGAAACTCCTGCCACAAATCCACCCAATGCCACAACACCGAGGGCAGCTATGAGTGCCGCTGCCGCCCTGGCTGGAAGCCGATTCCTGGGTCCCCCAATGGCCCAAACAACACCGTCTGTGAAGGTTCGGAGTTCAGATCCCATAAGTGAACCACATCTTCTTTACTTTGCTGAACCTTCTTAAAGAAAGATGCCATAAGGAGCTTTGGCAGGGAAGGGGCAGCACCATCAGCAATGGGGTGTGCCCAGTGCAGGCAGTGAGGAGAGGGCACATGGGCCTGGCATGGCTGAGTTTCAGATTCTGTTCTAATAAGGGCATTAGTGCCACTTTGAGCACAATGGTGCCACTGCCCACAGCCTCAGCACATTGCAACTATCAGTGTGGCAGCCTCCCTGGTTATAAGTCCATCACAGGTCCTCCCTTAGTCCATCCTGCCCTTCAGTTACGGGACACAGCTTTGCGATGACACTGGCACACACATACATAGTCCTACTCTGTCCACCTTGCAGGGGTGCTATGAGCTTAATGTCCTTTTAAGGTTGGAAAATGTCACCAGAACTTTGAATATGTCGGGCTACGTGGCTATCAGGCACGGTTTAGTGGTGTGTCCAAAGTGTACTTTAAGAGAAGGAGCAGGAGGGTTTAGATGCAGGGAATGCAGGGAGGGCCTGACACTCTCTCTGGTTTGTCCTCAGATGTGGATGAATGTACCTCGGGACAAAACTCCTGCCACAAATCCACCCAATGCCACAACAGCGAGGGCAGCTATGAGTGCCGCTGCCGCCCTGGCTGGAAGCCGGTTCCTGGGTCCCCCAATGGCCCAAACAACACCGTTTGTGAAGGTTAGGAGTTCAGATCCCATAAGTGAACCACATCTTCTTTACTTTGCTGAGTCTTCTTAAAGAAAGATGCCATAAGCAGCTTTGACAGGGAAGGGGCAGCACCATCAGCAATGGGGTGTGCCCAGTGCAGGCAGTGAGGAGAGGGCACCTGGGACAGGCAGGGCAGAGCTTCGGATTCTGTTCTAATAAGGGCATTAGTGCCACTCTGAGCACAACGGTGCCACTGCCCACAGCCTCAGCACATTGCAGCTATCAGTGTGTCAGCCTCCCTTGTTGTAAGTCCATCACAGGTCCTCCCACAGTCCATCCTGCCCCACAGGTGGGACACAGACCTTTGGGATGACACTTGCACACACACAGTCCTGCATTGTCCACCTATCTGGGGGGCTCTGAGCTTATGGTGCTCTTACACTGGAAAATGTCACCACAAGTTTATGTATGTTGGGCTAAGTGGCAGGTAAGCGGGCCCTAGTGGGGTGTCCTCGGTGTAATTTATGAGAAGGGGAAGCTTCGTTATGTGCAGGGAGTGGAGGGAGGGCCTGACACTCTCTCTGGTTTGTCCTCAGATGTGGATGAATGTACCTCGGGACAAAACTCCTGCCACAAATCTGCCCAATGCCACAACACCGAGGGCAGCTATGAGTGCCGCTGCCGCCCTGGCTGGAAGCCGATTCCTGGGTCCCCCCATGGACCACACAACACCGTCTGTGAAGGTTCCGAGTTCAGATCCCATAAATGAACCACATCTTCTTTACCTTGCTAGACCATCTGAAAGGCAGCTGCCATAAGGGGCTTTGGCAGAGAAAGGACAGCACTTCCAGCAATAGTGTGTGCCCAGTGAAGACAGTGAGAATAGGGGGACCTGGCCAGGCAGGACTGAGCTCTGATTCTGCTCTACTAAGGGCAGAAATACAGCTCTGGACACAGTGCTGCCAGAGCCCACAGCCCACAGCCTCAGGGCATGGGAGTAGTCAGTGTGGCAGCCATCACAGGTTAAAAGTCCATTACAGGACCTCCCACAATCCATTCTGCCCCAGAGTTTCATCTTTGGGATGAAACTTGCACACACACAGTCCTGCCTCATCCACCATGCAGGGGCGCTTTGAGCTTAATGTGCTTTTACGATAGAAAACATCATCACAAATTAGTATATGTCGGGTTAGGTGGCTTTCAGGCACGGTTTAGTGGCGTGTCCAGAGTGTAATTCAAGAGAACTGGCAGGAGCTAGGCTTGCAGGGAATGCAGGTGGCCTGACACTCTCTCTGGTTTGTCCTCAGACGTGGATGAATGTACCTCGGGGCAACACTCCTGCCGCCAATTAGCCATATGCCACAACACCGAGGGCAGCCATGAGTGCCACTGCCCCCCTGGCTGGAATCCGACTCCTAAATCCTCCCATGGCAAACAATACATCGTCTGTGAAGGTTCGGAGTTCAGATCCCATTAATGAACCACATCTTCTTTACTTGGCTGAGTCTTCTTAAAGGCACCTGCCATAAGGAGCTTTGGCAGGGAAGGGGCAGCACTATCAGCAATGGTGTGTGCCCAGTGCAGGCAGTGAGGAGAGGGCACCTGGGTCAGGCAGGGCTGAGCTTCAGATTCTGTTCTAATAAGGGCATGAGTGCCACTCTGGGCACAACGGTGCCACAGCCCACAGCTTCAGACGTTGCAGTTATCAGTGTATCACCCTCCCTGGTTAGAAGAACATCACAGGCACTCCCACAGTCCACCCTGCCCCACAGGTTGGGGTCCAGCTTTGGGATGACACTGGCACACACACACACACACACACACACACACAACACAGTCCTACCCTGTCCACCTTGGAGGGGTGCTTTGAGTTTATGCTGCTTTTACATTTGAAAATGGCACCACAAGCCTGTATACTATAGGACTAGTTCGCTTTTAAGCAGGGTGTACAGGGGTGTCCTCGGTGTACTTTGAGCGAAGCAGCAGGAAGGTTGTGGGCAGAGAGTGGAGGGAGGGTCTGAAACTCTCTCTGATTTGTTCTCAGATGTGGATGAATGCACCTCCGGGCAAAACTCCTGCCACAAATCCACCCAATGCCACAACAACAAGGGCAGCTATGAGTGCCGCTGCCGCCCAGGCTGGAAGCCGATTCCTGGGTCCCAGAATGGCCCTAACAACACCGTCTGTGAAGGTTCGGAGTTCAGATCCCATAAATGTCCATCTTCTTTACATGGCTAAGTCTTCTTAAAGGCAGCTGCCATAACGTGCTTTGGCAGGGAAGGGGCAGCCAGGTC